TCCTGCTACTAAAGGTAAGATGGCGCCATTGTCAAGTGTGCAGTGTCTCCGCGCATACGAAATGTTCAAGTTGCAAAACGCCTCAACAGGAAAATATTGCCTCCGGTTACGAAAGACATTTCAAGATACGAAAGGTAAAAATACAGTATGGGCTGCTTCTCGGAGCTCCGAGTTTCCTGAACGCAACATACTTGTAGCTGCTCTGCCATTGGCTATTACCTAGCATCTTCCTGGCATCCCATTGGCTAAGAGGGGCCTCTACCGTATGTGTAGATAGATCGATTTGTGTCTAAGATAAGATAAGAAAACATTTAATTGTCTCACAATGGACAAATTCCCAATCTATGCAGCATCCTCGTCATTCGCCCCTCGGGCTATGAGGCGTTCCGATAGATTTACGTCAATGTTAATCATCTAGAAAAAGAGTTCACCAGTCTGGAGATCACTCACTATGTTGATGTTTGCCTCGGACATTTTCGAAGGATTGTTAAAAGCCGACAAAAGCAAATGTCCTTGGAACAGTTCTTTCCAAAACGCCAGGCAAAAATCGCTCCTGAGAGAGAACATGAACTAAAAAGGGCAAAAAACGAGGAGGACGCAGTTCAAAGTTAAATGACCATCGTTTTTTTCTTTATTCTTCGTTTTTTACATTATGCACAACTCTCATTGTATATTCTTAGTTTTTTACATTATGCACAACTCTCATTGGACAATAATCTAATTGTAACATGTATTTGTTACATATTTTGATGCATTTTTATGCTTCATAAAACATTTATGTCAGAATTTTGGGGGGCTTGGAACATGTTAGGGCATTCATTTGGAAAACGCGTCTCAACTTGCAAAATTATCTAATTAAGAAATTTCTTCCGGAACTAATTAATTTCGTAAGTAGAGGTAACACTGTACTACTAAACTTTGAAACGTTTTTTTTTTTTTAAGTATACCACAAAGAGAAGATTTATTGTACTGGTTGCATTCTTCTTCTTTGTCAAATCCATTGGCTGGTTTCATTTTCTCGCCTCGAGGCAGGACTGTTGTGATCAATCGCGCATGTCAAACTGTATTGTACAAGGAAAGTTAACGGCGACCGAACGTTGCCCGCAGTTTGTTCTCCCTTCCCCGTACTGAACCACCAAGCCTACAGCGCACTGTAAACCGTACATACTGAAGGCAAGTGAACGCATGGCTAATCGTAGCTTTCAGGATGCTCAGGGATTACACGCCGCATCTTTGAATGGACATTACAGCATTGTGAGTAGCTTGTGGGCGAGTTTGTGTGTCACCGACACAAATCCCTCTTTGTTATCTGTGTAATTCCATCAGTCTTTGTGCAAAAGGCACAGCAAGGGCTACGAACTTGCATACATTATACATCTACTGCTACAGCAGAACAGATTCTTATGTTCGCGCTCGCAAAACCGATAGTCCCCGTTGGGGAATCGGATCTCCTTTGCTGGCCATAGGCTAATCCCACCGTTCAGGCAAGCAAAATATTCAGCCTGGCTATTATTCAGTCTGTGATTGTATTTGTTTTGTTTTGTTTTTTCTTCATCTGGAAATGCCATTCCCCTCCCGCTGTGGGCCCCAGCACTTGCTGGGTTCGAATCAGGAGGCCCAAGGTAAGGGCAAAGACAACCGCCTCAAAACAGGACTCAGGCGAGGGTGGGAGTGGGGGTAATGGCAAGTTGAATAACGATGTGAGTGATTGAGGGAATAGGGAATAAAAAAGAATATACTGTACCTGAGGGTGTACATTTGTATCCTATAATTCAGAGTGTGGCTCCATCTTGTGGGAGTGTTGGTGAAGTATGATGTCCGCACAAGGGCTGATACAGTCCACTTTAGCCATTCATTTATCGTAAAAAGGTGCTTTGGACGGAGACCAATAAAGCCTCTGAAAAGTGTCAGATTTAAACTGATCGTTCATCCACCCACCCCTTTTCCAGACGTCTTCAGGTCACATGTGAGCTTGCACATTTTTTCTCTCGCCGAGTGAAACGTGAGCAACAATGTTGACGAGGGTTTCATGGACTTGGTTTTGACCCAGCACCAGTGCGTGCCTCACTGGTTGGAAAACACTCCTTTATATCAAACACGAGGCGCCAGTTTTGATCCAATTTGTATTGTTAGTCACTTCACAGCCGCTAGGGGGCGACACAACTTCATGCCTGCTTCCCCGCCAAATCCAACTGATGTTTTGTAGCATTAATGTGTGTACGTATGATGTGAACCCTGGCCATGGAGCTGATAGGTATGTGGCATGAAAAAAAAAAGACTCCCACCTGTGCACTAATCACCACCACTTTGTTTTTGAGGTGTTTCTCCCTCTATGATCCAATTCACTGCATTCAAATGACATCAGGAGAATATTATGTAACGTGCATTTCTCAACCGCTCTCTCATTTACAGAATGTGACCTCGGCGTGGTGTAAATGTGTTGACGTGACCTTCAAAGTGCCGTAGGCCCGAATGGCAGCAGTGCTGTGTTATTGTTTGAAAGCCCAAACTGCCAGAATCCCATTAGAGTGGAGCACAGCACTCCTCCCCTTGCAAAAACAAACCGTCTCTCCATGAAACACCTGTCAGGGTCCTCAAAACCACCCCTCCCCATCCTCACGTCCGCTTTTATTTCTTTCACGCAGAGCGTCCATGTACCTCTCGCAATGCTTTCCTCCAGTCAGTTTCTGTTTTTCCTGTGCAGCATGATGGAATAGTGATTAGCATACTATGGCTTCCTCCCACATTCCAAAACAGCATGCAGGTCAGTTTAATCAACGACTCACCAACATTTTAAAAACTGAAAACTACTTCTTGTGTACTTATTAATGTGAAGGGTTAGCAGTTTGATACACCCTCACCCACCCCCCCCCAAAAAAAAAAATACAACAGCACCGTTTCTTTATCCCCTGCAAAGAGTGACTAATATTAATGTGGCTTGAGACACTGTGCCCCTTTAGATGACTTGATCCTCTTTCAGGAACGCTCGCGCACTGTAAGGAACAGATGCCCCCCTCATGTGGATTTTCGGGCTCCCTCTTTTGCACTCTCTTACTTATGAGCATGGTCATGGAACAAATTAAACTGTTTATAAAGTATGTCTATATATACAGTATATGTATGAACTGCGTGTAATATACTGTAGGTACACGGCTTGTAGTATGCAGTATGTAGAGTGTGTGTTTGCGTGCTCTCGTAAAAAGCATAGCAGAGTCCTGTTTGTTTCTCTTTTTGACAAGACAAGGCTTTGAAGTTTAGAAGTTCGAGGAGCCCTCAGTATGTTTTACATCTCTAGCAGACGTCTTATCGCCCGTAATGGAGAAGCTGAAGAAGTCTCAGTGTGTGGATGGGCGCGCTTGTGTGTGTGTGTGTGTGTGTGTGTGTGTGTGTGTGTGTGTGTGTGTGTGTGTGTGTGTGTGTGTGCGCGCGCGTGCGAGCGCGTGCGAGCGTGCCCGTTGGAAGGATTAAAATAGATGTCTGCCCGGTCACACCATTAAGAGCTGTGATTGACAGCTTCCTGAGGTGCTTTACTTTTTTCAAATGACTTGTGACCGCACGCTCACACATCGAAAGTGCTTTTCACACAAAGGTAGACCCAAGAACAGGAATGAACCTTGATAAGCATTTTGACTTCCAATATGAAGTTTCTCACTGTTTCTGGACAGCTAATTAAAAAATTGTAAGAATACATAGAATACATTTCAGAATTCACTCTTCCGTCAGTAACGGTTTGCTTTCCATGGTAAGAGGAAATGAAACCAGATACCTCACATTGGTCACAGCTAACCCAAGCTAGCAAACACTTCCAGCCTGTTCAACAGTGCACTTTAACATGACACAACTCCATTTAAAAAACATGTGTTCAAACAAAAATGTGGTTTAGGTTTTTTTGGGGGGAGGGGGGTTGACAGCAAACCCAATCTTATTCACTCCAGGGATGTTCTGTGCTGCCATTGTTAAGATTTCTTAGCATATACTGGATAAGCGGATTTGTTTTTCAAGTTTTGGTCAATATTTTATTTTATTTTTGTTTGGGCAGCGGTGTTGGTGGTCAGGTGAACAAAAAATGGGTAGGGATTTAAAAAAAAAAAAGAAAAAATCTCCCTGGTGGGGAAATCTCTCTTTTAACGCCACAAAAAAGCCTTTTTAAAAACTTGTCTATAACAGTTAGTGGCATTGTCATTCACCAATCACCACACAGATTCCCCAGTTCCCCAAATTGTCAACTTAGGTAAATCAAGTGTTGCAGAAGCAGGTGTGGCTGCATATGTGTGGTTGAAAGGGGAAGCCAGCCAGCCAATTTGAGGCCAAAGCTCAGAGGAGCTGCCTTTAAAACAATAAACCTGCTTCCACAGAACACTCGGCCTCATCCATCCTCTTCCAAAGAAAACTCTTGCGTCCAATCGACCACATATCACAAAGAAGAGTAGCCCAAGGTACAAAGTCCTGACAAAATTTAAGACATTTTTTTAAAAAATTAAAGTATCTATATTATTCATTCAAACTGCAACTATATCGCAAACTATGATCTCAAAAGACTTCACTGTCATTTCAAACTCATGTTACAGCAAATTTACACCTCAAAATAAATGGCTTACAGTTGGCTTGATTGGAGGGGGGAAAAAAAAAAGCACTTTTTCATTTTTCTGCAGTGGTCAGGAACAACAGGGAATTCCATCCCTCCCCACTTTTTCCGAAGGTGGAGGTCTCCTGAATGTTACCAGCTGAATATATTTACTCAGCTCTTGCAGAGTGTTGGCCACAAAGGCAGGAATGTGACTTGAAAGGGCCTGTTACATTTTAATTTTTAACCCATAAAATAAACACAAGAGAGTGGCCCTACAATTTTTTATTTATTTTTTTTTATGAATGGCTCTATTCATTCCCAATAGAAAATTAGTTCTGGGGTAAAGCCACACCCATTTGGAATGGCCGTCTCATCTATTGGCTAGCCGTGAGGAGAGGGGGCGGGCCCTGTCAGGTGGTATAAAGAGGTGTTTAGGTTGGTTGTCCCCGGAGGGGAACACTTGGACAAAGACCCGAAAAGGGACTGAGCTATTTAGGACTGACTATTCTTTAGTGGAGCTGACTTTGAAATTAGATATACATAAATACATGAACCTTATTTAATGAGCATGGATTATGCAATGTATTTTATTTTGATGACGACAGCCTTCATCTCACAGGTAGTATTTTTTTTTTCTCCTCACTGAAGCTTATGTGTTAAATGTACATTGAGAGACAGATTGGCTTTGGGACAACGATGCAACATTATGGATGAGAATGGAAATTGTGAGTCACAATGAGTGTTACTCTATGTCCTTTCCAGTTTGTTTTTTTTTTTTTTTGGGGGGTGGGGGTGGGATAGCATCATCAAATCATTTATGTCTATGGTTCTTGTGTTGAATACACTTTAGGTAACTCAGTTATACGCATCCTGGTTCTCATGACCTTAGTTCACCAACTTTACAACAAACTGCAATACAGCGCAGCAGCAAATCTGCCAAATAATTAGTACACCTGCTTCACAATTTAGGTTCTGGGTTTGAATCATTCATTATTCAGGCGTGGGTTTCCTACCGGTACTCTGGCCTCATCCCATATTCCAAAAACATGGTTGATAAGTTCATTGCAGATTTCAAAATTCTGTTAACAAATGTTTGTCTCGACCAGTGGTCTCAAACTCGCAGCCCTGGGGTCATTTGCAGACCGCAGGATGATACTTTGCGGCCCCCTACTTGACATCAAGGCTTATGTTAGTGCAATCCCCAGTTTTTTTGCCGTGTCGTTGCCCTGGGTATTTTGTTTGTCACTTTTAGGCTACCATAGCGCAGGCTCATGCCAGGTTTCGAGGAAACGTATTTCTCAAGTGACACCAAGTGGAAGGGAAGGTTATCCTGTCACACAGTACCAGTCAAGTCTTTTTAGAAAGCTGAGGAGACGGAATATTTATTTGTTGAGCACAGGGGCACCCCAACACGTCTCGAATATACAGAGAAAGTTACCACCATGGTAACTTTCTCTGTATATTTTGCTTTTGCTAATTGGTTGCTATTTCGGTATACGTTAGCGCAGAAGCTGTTCGCATGTTCACCTTTCATCAATTCTAAAATACCTGCTAGGCAAGCTCTGCAGGAGGCTACTAATGATGGTGATCATTTGATTTGTGTGTTAGAAGAGGGAAACATCCTAAACATGTAGGTTAGTGACCCACGAGGACCGGCTTTTGACACGTGTGGCCTAAACGCTCTCTCTGCTCAGGTTGTTTACTTGCTATATCATAGCCCAACAACTGTTAGCATGATAGCGCTCGATCAGTTCCTCGTCAGAACGTAATGTGACAAAAATAAATGACACAAACCCCTTATCTATCTGCCTTAGCACTTTTTGTTCTCATGCTTCTGTCATTTAAACTTGGTCTTGATGTTTCTGTCCCTTGTCTGACAATGTGGTCGTTCCAGGTGATAGCTATCTGTCCCGCGACATGTGAGTGTCCCGCGGGCCACCCGGTGTGCCCTCCGGGGATTAGCACTGTGCCAGATGGATGCGGGTGCTGCAAGGTGTGCGCCGCGCAGCTTAACCAAGACTGCAGTTCCATGAAGCCTTGCGACCATCACAAAGGGCTGGAGTGCAATTACGGCAACGACATCACACAGGCTTGGGGCGTGTGCCGAGGTAAGGCGGCAAATATATACAGGATAGACAAATTATCCCCAAACTGTGTTGCTTTCTTGCTTAATTGATGCCCTTTTAAACAAAAGTGACTGTGGATGTGACTTGGCGTATCATAGATGAGCGCCATATTCATGTTTGTTGATGCATTTAGCTAGCATTGCCCAACGTCACCGATAAACGCATACTATAACCTTGTCTAAAAGTGTTGCTCCACTCTTTATTTTCAAATGTCTGTGGCGTCTAAAACCGCGACTATTGATGCGAACCGTTAACCTGTCAATGGCGTTTTTGCACCGTGTGTTAGCATCAGCCTTTGCAGACTTTCTGAAGACAAAGCGATGTTGTTTTCACGACATCGTAGGTAATTGTCATCGTAGGTCATTTGTTTTAAGTTTTGTGTGACATTAAACACCCCGAAGCTTCTTTTTTTGGGATAAATTGTTTACTCTTTGCCAAACTACTTTCTGAAGTGAGATGAATTTTGAGTTCAGTGACCCCATAAAACTCTCTCATCCCAAAGGGTTGTGAAAGCCAAAAGACAATGCCACATGTCGGTGAGCCAGCAGTACACACGACAGTATGTAAGCCCCGCGTAAGCACAAACATGACCGAGATGCTTAATGGGAGCAAAAGTAATGGAGATAAAAATAAGCTTCATGCCAGAGCTGCGCTACAAACTATGAATAGCAGGTCCTTCTCAATTCGGAGACAAGTAGTCTGACACTTCCTGTCTCCTCAGATCCACTGACCTTTCAGTCTAAAACGTCGTTGCCATGCAAAGTTATTGTGCCGTATGTCACAAGAGTCACATTTCAGTGCTTAAATGAACGCTTGGTTGAATTCTCGTCGTGCATCTCAGAGGTGACCATGTGTCTTTGATGCCTTAATGCCGGGTGAATAATCTTGGGTTTTTTTTAACAAGTCATAGTTCTCTGGATGTGAGTCATTTCTATTAAATGACACATTATGCCATTTATTTCACAATTTAGAAGGGCCCCGTGTGTCTTAATAAAAGGTCTCTGATATTCTTTGGTCAAAACTGCATAAAGGATGTAGAATTGCGGTAAACCGAGCTGACTCTGTATGACATGCATCCATTCATTCATCCATCCATCCACAGTCCACCCATTATCTGCCCCACTTATCACAAGTTGGTGAATTTGTGGCTATAATGTATTTACACCCTTAAAACTGCTGCTATTTTTAACCCATTTTGGGTCATTTTAATCCAACAGTGTTCCCTAAAGGTATTCCCTAAAGTTTGGATACGTCGGCAATTGATGGAATGTGGAACTATTGCATTGAGTTCACAAATATTGAAAAGTGCATGAATAAATGTAAATAGGACTGAAGATTTGAGGTAGTGTTCCAATTGGATACAAAAAAAAACAAAGCGCTTTATGGTCTTATTGAAGACCTTAGGACTCCTTCCAGAGAACGCAATGTTTGCATCGCCTCATCCAGACTGCGAATGAATGGTATAGACTGCCAGGGCTCAGTCCTTATCCCCCGTAAATAGCGAAATCTCCGCATAATTGCCGCCCTCCTAAAATGGTTTTGAGTGTGTGTGTGTGTGTGTGTGTGTGTGTGTGTGTGTGTGTGTGTGTGTGTGTGTGTGTGTGTGTGTGGATGGATGCACCAAGGTGCCAGCAAAGCACTTAGCATGGAGATGATCATAAAGCATCAACACCGTGCATCTACTGTAAAATGTACACGATCATGAAGCCGTGGTATATAAAAGCCTTATTCATGAATTAAAATTGTCAACACAAAGACGCCGCCATCAGATGAGGCTCATCAAAAGTATTAGCTAGCATACTCGCATGTCGCATGAAATCACATCTGGGCAAAGAAATATGCGCACAAGCGCTTTCTTTCAAAGCACCTCGACAAATATGCTCATTAGCACCACTGTATTTATAATTAAAACAAATTTCCATAGTATGTCCTCTTTAAGAATTGCACCCCGCCCCCCCATATAACTGTTTTCCAGCCAAATCGGAAGGACGCACGTGCGACTACAGCGGCAGGATCTACCAGAATGGCGAGAGCTTCCGCGTGGGCTGCAAGCACCAGTGTACCTGCCTGGATGGCGCCGTGGGCTGCGCGCCCCTTTGTGACCACAACCTTCCACCGGCGTCGCCATCGTGCCCCTTCCCTCAGCTGGTCAGAATGCCCGGCCGGTGTTGCTTCACCGTGGACTGCCACAAAGACATCTGGCGCCTTCCAAACAAACACAACCCAAAGGTTTGTTTTTTTTTTCATCTTTATAATTATTTGTAGTCTGCTGTACTTCAAAAAAAAAAAAAAGAAAGAAACGATTGGATTGCTGTCATTCCCACGGCAACCCAACCTTGCCAATAATATCGCTCTCTCAACTTGTATGAACGTTGCTGCTAACATTACTTGGGTCTGTTATGTCTGTACTGCACACTGTAATGATAAAATTGTTTCAAAACATTTTTGATAAAATGTTATTTGACACAATGACAACAAATTGCAAAAAGGATCTTTTACTTCTGACACAAATGATTCACAGTTGTGTGAAACGACCGCCATACACACCAACTACTGCAAAGGAGTACCTACTCGATACCAGATATTAAAATGTTTATTTTTTTTTTTTGCCTTAAGTATTTGTGGATGGTATCGGCAGCTTCCATGATATCCGATGCCTTAAAATAAGGCCAGTATCGGCCCGATACTAGATATTGGTATTCACTCATATCAAATAACTACGAGTCAGGTAGGGGTTTTTCCATCTCGCACCATCTCAAAGGCGTTTTTGTGCATTAGATGACCTTTCCGAAACGACTGCAACCCAAACCACAGCGCCGACCCACGCCTCGGCCTCATGAAAACGATCTTCCGGCGACCAATGAGATTGTGCCCCTTCACACGACTGGCTGGGAGGCTGAACGTGGCTACAAATACCTACCTGGTGAGAGAGACAACATCATCTGGCTGATTGCTATGAATGTGCTTTTCATGATGACAATGTTGATCATTGTAGGATTGTGAAAAACCTCAATCAACCATCTCAATATTATAGCCCAACATATTCCAAAAGAAAGTCAAAATGATTTTTTTTTGTTTTTCCACCAGTGACCCGAAATTTTGCTTTGCAGAATCCAGACTCTCACATTGAAAAGTTGTACACTTCTCTCGCTTTCCAAAAAAAATTGCAAACACCGACATGAAACGATCCTTGACTGTACCTAATGTATTGTCCTTCGTTGTTCTTCCTCTGCGTGGTCTCCGGGCAGCGTCACGGCTCATTGCCGCCACCTACTGATCTGAGCCTTCCGCTGCAAGGAAATCGCTGTGAAGTCAAAACACTCTTTTATCTCAAGGCATATTTTTCTGTGATTGTTTTCAGTGTGGGGCAACCAGAAGAAGTGTCACATCCTCACCACCGATTGGTCCCAGTGTTCGCGGAGCTGCGGGACGGGCATCTCCTCCCGCCTCTCGAACAAGAACCCCCAGTGCAAGCTGGAGAGAGAGACCAGACTGTGTACAGTGCGGCCTTGCAGCGCCACGCAGCCTCTTCCGAGCAAGGTAACCTTGAGGGATTATATTTACAGTTGATGTATGTATAATTATCGGCAACGACAGTGAGGATAAAAAAGCTCTTATCGCCGCTTATCTCTCGCCAAGAATTAACCTCCACACCTTATGATAACATGTGACCGCAGAAAATCATACAACCTCTTATCTGTCCTTGTTTGACTTTGAGGGCAAACCCACTTTCTGGCTTTTAGCCTGTTGCCATTGCATAAAAATAAATAAATCCGTCTGGGCACCTCCAAGGTGGAAAAGTCAGGACCAAGATTATTATCGAAAACTAACGAGGAAAAAAAATTTGTTCATGAAACGAAAAAAAAAAGTCCTTTGGAAATTATGATACCCAATACTGAGTGACCTCATTTTTTATTTATCTTGCACTCGACAAATAGGGCAGATAATTTAACCCTTTCATGCGCACTGTAACCTGATACCATGATAAGCTGTCCACTGCAGTAACCTCTGTCCCTGAAAGGGTTAAAAAAAAAAAAAACATCAAAAGTAACTAAAAATCCAGAACTATTCGAACCATGGTCAGGACAAATTGTATCTTCTTCTTCTCCTTTCGGCACATCCCTATTCAGGGGTCGCCACAGCGAGTCAGTAATTTCCATCCGCCCCTGTAAACCGTCCTACCAACTCGCATGGTCGTCTGGGCAAAAGTGTTACGCCGAATGCCATTCCTGACGCAACCCTCCCCATTTCTCCGGGCTTGGGACCGGCACTGGGGAACAGTGCACCCCCAGGGGAGGGCATTGCCCCCCCCGCGGCTGGGTTGTCAGGACAAATTGTATGATTTGTTCAATTTTAGAATCAGGTTATACTTCAGGTTCAGAGGTCCAGGATCCCAAAAAGTTTGAGAACTATTCTGTTTTGTCTCGTTATGTTTTTTTTTTGTGTGTGTGTGTGTTGATGTCCACTCTCGGTGCTAATTATACTGCACAGAGCTGATTTCCTCTGCTGCTGTGTTTGAGTTAATTTTAGTCCATATAAGCAGCCTCCAGCCAGCCACGGCATTCCTGCCAAGCAACTGTCCATAGCTAAGCTCCGTGCGGTGGGTCTATATTAATTCTCCATGTTGGACAAACACCAGGAGCTCTTTGCCATGCTTGCTTAGCTTGAAGACTCTGCTGTCAGGGGCAATGATAGAACAATGTCCATGGCATGTTGGGAGGCTGCTAAATTTGGCTGTTGCTTAAAAAAAAAAAGAAAAATGACATCATCATCTGACTTGTGTATTTTAGTGAAAATGATCTTAACCCTTTCAGGGACACATATTTTTAATAAAAGTGATATATTTTATCTAAATATGGTTAGAAATTAAAACAGTGCTGTAACGTAGTTTTGTCGTTATCCTTCCGATTGCAGAGAGGCAGGAAGTGCTCCGCCATGCAAAAATCCCCGTCGCCCCTCCGCCTGTCCTTTGGCAAGTGCGTCAGCGTGCGCCTCTACCGGCCCAACTTCTGCGGCCAGTGTCGGGACGGACGTTGCTGCTCGCCGCGCCGCACCCGCACCCTGCCAATCGACCTGGCCTGCCCGGATGGCCAGCGCCTGAGAAAGTCGGCCATGTTCATCCAGTCGTGCAAATGCAGCGAGGAGGCCTGCGGCCACCTGAACGACGTGGCCCTGCCGCCGCAGCGCTGGATGCACGGTGACACGTACAAATTCATAGACAAACAGTGATTTTATTTCAGTTTTGATGCGGAGCACGATGACGTGCCAGGTTTGACAGTGGATGGGAGGAAGGGCCCTGGTTGGTGTGTGTGTGTGTGGCCCAGGGTGCCTTTGTTCAGACGTGGGAGCTAAATTAAAGCCCTGATGCAGCCCCGGACACTTCCCTCCTTCACGAGGGATAAGCGTGCTTATTCCGACTTGGATATTTTGAGACCCTCCCGACAGGCCGGCCGCAAGAGGAAATGCTTTGCAAGGCACTTTGAAAACTGACTTTGAACTTCAGCGGCAATGCAAAAGGACCTAATATGTTAAGTGGGTTTCACACAATTTTTCTGTGGTGTACAGTGAACCCTGAATTAATTTTTTTTTCAGGTGGTGGGGGGGGGGGGGTTCCCCCC